AGGTGAATTCCATCTTACATAAGCAAGCCTGGTGCTGTGTAGGCTATGTCATTATCAAAAAAACCTAAAATTGTTGCAGTGACACCAGCCACAGAGCCATGTATTATAGACTGGGCCTGTGTGTTTCTTCCAGTGTCGCTGCCCACAACTAGAAGGAGAGAAAAACACAACCTGTGCTCCAGATTTGCTTACCAACCATCCCAAGGCCCTGAAGTCGCTTTTGATGGCCCTTGGATTACACATTGTGACTTCGTTGTCCCCCTTGTGGAAGAGCAGTAATGGGTAATAGTCTGAGGGCCATGCCGGGCTAGGAAGTTTCCTAGTGATGTCCTTAACCCAGGCCCCAGGGAGGCAGCAGACTTCTCCGAGACGAGGGTCACCCTCTGTTCCCCTCAGAAGGGGGTCGCCTACGGCTGTAACCTGTCTTGTCTTCCTTGTGGAGGTGGTCATGATGCAGGGTGTACGCCTTTCTGACCTTGGCAACGCTCTGGTGTAGCTGGACTGTCATCCACATCATCCATTGACTGGCCTTCCACATCCAGAGCCTCCTATCTGTTGTACAGAGGCACCTGGGAAGGCAAGGTGGGCAAGGAGGCGATTTGTCTGCTACCCCAAGCATAGACTTGCCTCCATTCACTCCTTCCTTTTAAGCTACTGCCTTCAGCCTGACAGGGGGAGGATGCAGGATCCCCCTTGATCTTAGATTTTTTTCTGGTGGTTGTTTCTGTCTCAAGAAGGGCAGAGCATGGTTCCTTCAGTCTATCTCTTTGTCAGACTCCCTGATGCTCCTTAACCTTTCTGCTTCCTCTTAGCTCTGCCAACAGGCTGAGCAGATTGCCCACCTGGTCACACCTCAGGCAGCTTTTTTCATTGCTTCCAGCTGTTACCATTGGAAGGCTCTGGCCCTCACTGCAGCCTGAGACCTGGATGGCTGCATGGTTTTGTGGAAGGTCTGTCTGGGTTGTCACACCCTTCCTGGCAAGTGCAAAGGACTTGGCTTTCCAATGAGTGGATACTGTAGCTAAGCTCCTTCTGAGAGGGTGCTGACAACCAATAAAAAAGGATGATGTGAAATCAAAAAAGTCAGATCTTGAAAAAAGATTCAGGGTTGGTCAAATAACACGTTTCTGCTTCTGGGCTGTGGAAATTGAATGGGCTTTGTTGGCTGATTTGAGAGGAAGAGACAGGCACCAGAGAACAGAATGAGAAATTTGAGAGGTTTTCTTCTACCTCTTTAAAAGGTGCAGCTAAATTTTTATTTTCAATTTTCTTGGAGATAGATAAAGTTCTTCCCCCAGAAATGAAGTCTGTTAACTTTCTTTTTGCTACAAAGTAAGTCTTCATGTTCTGAAATATCTTACCTTATGTAAAAGACAACAAATATTTTGGGGTGAAGAAGTCTCTGTG